CTTATAATTGGACAAGCATACATACAGTGAATCATCAAATTACATAGACAATTGTATTTTAAAAACCATGAAAATAATAATTTTAAATAATATCCAAATATATTATTTTAGTATTTTAATATATAACGAGCTTATCAATAATGGCAAGCATTATTTTTCATTTTAACAAATTCTTTGATCACTTACTGAAGACGAAACTGAAATTTTTTGATCACATACACACGAATGACAACAAACGTATAAAAATGTGAAAATTAAAAAGAATTTCGTTTACTGGGTATTAACATTGGTAAATAAATATCGTAAATATTAATACCTGGTATGTATACATGATACATACATTCATGCATACTATTATATATACTTGGGTATATATAATTGTAGACTATAACCAATTTCATTTAGGAAGACATGATTCATTAATCCAAAAGTCTCTAAATTATGTTATGTTCGCAAATTCAGAATATTTATTATAAAACCAAATGCATTTTTATTCACTCTGAAACTGTTTTCTATGCATGCTTTATAACCATATTTTATCTATTCATGTTCGCATTTACTGATACTTATGCATAAGTTTCATATTTTGTTACAAATTAACTTGTATATTAAATTCCATTTATATGTAATATGATGATATGATGTTCGAATAAAATACGCTAATTATTACTATCAGTGTCTTTTTGATAGTGAAAAAAACTTACTCTGTTGTAAAAATTAAGATTAGGTAATTTGATAACTTTCTGTTGCGATATAACTAACAAATATCAATATCTCTAATATTCAATTTTTTGTATATTGGAAGAGAACAGCAGAATCTTGAAACTACTGAATAATTTTTTATTGGAATTTATCATATTGGGTGTTGAATTGAAAAGTTTATCAATTAATTCAAGAATAATAAAAAACAGATTAAAAAATTAAAAAATATTTTTGTATCTAACAAATGCAATAAAAATTAAATTATTCAAAACATTTTAAAATGCAGTATAGGGCTACGCACAGACTCGTGTGGACGAGGTTGTGAGTTTAAACCCCGCTCTGGACAACCTGACATCGTGCAGCAGCAACGTCCATTTTCAATTGAAAATATATTTCGAAAATAAGTTTCCGATTGAAAATATTCTATTTTGGGCACTTCAGTGTGAAATGAAAATGAGAAACTTCTCACACTATTCTTCCCAGAATCGAGTTGGAGTTTAATTCAGCCAACGGACCTGTGCCCTAAGGCAGTACTAGCCATTATATACAATATCAAATAGACCAATATATATATATATATATATATATATATATATATATATATATATATATATATGCGGTTTTTTTGAAGTATCATTACATACTAATATATGTACTGTAAGGGGTATGCACCCATAAATAATTAAATAATATATAAACCACTATAACGGTCAGAATACAAACAACGCAGTTTGTAATATGTAGATTACTCATACATACAACAATGTAAGCGCAATATCCTGACCAAGCCCAGCACGTGTTGTTGATAAAAATCTTTTCCAAACAACAAAATTTGCATAAAGCATTGGCTCATCTAATATGTTGCACTCTACAATGATATTGAACAAGTCATAAAATATTGTTATCTAGGAATGCAAAGTCACCCTGAAGGCGAGCTCATAAAAGGCTTGCATTGACGCATTCGCCAGCTTAGTGGTAATTTAGTTTTCTATAAAATATGAGTTCAGATTTCAGTCTTCAGTCAGATCAATATAAGCTCAGCCGTACTTTATTTATCAATGGAGTCGTATTTTATTTAATCATATTCAGTCGTATTCAAGTTCAGTTATTTAAGTTAGTTGTTTGCAAAGTGTAGGAGAAGTGATGAAATAAACAAATATATCAAAGATCTTCGCCTGTTTAACTGATCGGCCTCCACAGATTTGGTAACAGCTATGTTAGCAGCAGAAAGAACTTACAAATTGTTGGTATCATCGGTGGGACCTTCTACATATTTTGAGGTGTCATTGGTGGTTCCTACAGTACATATATGAAATTTACATACAGTATGAATATGGATCAAAATGAACCGCCGTTACCAAAAAATACTAAAGCAGAAATATGGCAGTTCAATTCATAAATGCTTAATATCATGTTTTGCAAAAAGTAAAGAACACAATTTCAACCAGATTTGAGGAGCAGAATGTCATCTTTCATATTTTTAACCCTGTGGTTTCGAACTATCAAGAGCGTAAGGTAAAAACAACTTTTCGTAAAAAACATCTCCATTGCCTATAACAACTCCAATCAAATAAAAGTCTGTTAAACTAGACGTTCGAACACACTTTTCCTAACTAAATATTATTAAATCTTAAAAAAGCACACAAATATTTTATAATAATCCGTTCGAAATAATTTCGTTGGTTAATTACGAATTTAGATTTTTTATTTTTGTAAGCGCCCGGCGCAATGTTTATTAAAAAAGTCAATTAAAAAACCAATACACACGGACACTTTATTATCCCGAAGGACCAGATATAATTAATTATCACAAAGGCTATATCAGACCTGAAATAATAAAGAACTGAATGGAAGATAATAACTAGTTCAGAAATTGTTTGTAGAAATGTAATGGTTTTAATTTTAGTAAGTTGTATTAGATGCAAATGGGTCAAGGTATACGTACAGACTGAGGATGAATTTCTTAAAAACTATCTTAGTACTTAGAGTAAATTTATTTTATTACATCTAGGTAGAAAAGCTAGATGTATCATTTGTGAGGCTCGAACAATTTTTGTTAGAAATTGGAAAGTTTTAACAATTTTCGTTATTACTAAACTAATTTTATTTACAATGGTGAATACATTGAAGTATCCTTCGTTTGTACATAATGTACATGTGAATAAAGAATATATGAGAAACAACGAATGAAAGAAAATTGCATTCGCAAAGCAAAATGTATACTTTTATTATATTCGATATCAATCGAAAGATTCCATTATCGTTTTATCCTTATTGTAGCAGTAAACCTTCTTCACAAAGGTAATATACACATATACACCGGTACGCAGATTTCGTTGTCCCTATATATATTTGTGAACTTTGTGTGAATTAACGACTATAAATGAATGTATATATATATATATATATATATATATATATATATATATATATATTATAGTGAAGTTGCATACATGCATTTTTAAGTACCAGTTTTGCAGTCAATGCTTCGCTAACGACTGAACTGGACGATCAAAATAAAGTAACATTGACCATGACGAAATTATTGGTGAATATTCATAATACTATAATTACTATCTAAGTTCAAGTTAATTTGAGATAATTAACAGAAATTTACCAAACAGTCTGTATATTCATTCTGTTATATTATAATATTTTAATTTTAATAAGTATTCAGCCGTTATTATGATTTTTATTATCATTCAAAAACGTACGTTACTTGCAGATTAAAGTGGTGCTCGGAATATGGTGTATACAATGTGCATCAACGATGACTATTAATGAAAAAAGGGAATTATACAGAACGAGGTAATAAAGTATCTTTTTAGTAAAAATTATACTCATTTTTATTTCGTATGATTGTGATTCATAATATTTATACTCAACATTTTATATTTATATACTGTCTTTATATAAATGTATTAGTGTCTAGAAACCTTGACATCAAATACATATATATATATATATATATATATATATATATATATATATAATTCTCGTATCATGACTCTCATTGCAATGCTCCTCCAAAACGGTTAGACCGATTGTTATGAAATTTTATAATCGCCATTAATATAACTGAGAATTTGCCAACATCTATTTTGAAACAATTCTATTTGTTGTGTCTTTAAGTGGGAAGGGTTGGTCATCCTTAAGATTTATTTTTTTTAGTTTTTGAACTTTTAATAATTGATTCAGAAACAGATACAGCCCTAAATTTTCACCTTTTACCACTAACCCCTAATTCATAAAAGTCATAGTAATCAAATAATTTTTCATCTCAAGTGCAGTCTGACGAATTTTATTTATTTTTGACGTAATTTTAAAAAATTAAGAAAAAGCATAAATTTTTCTTAAATGAAAAATTAATTTTTATCAAGGGCTGGTGAAGGAGTGATGTGGTGGGCGACATAAGAATAGAAGGCTAGTGATCGAAGATTGAAAAGATCACACGATTTATTGCAATTTATTGAAAAACTTTATACAAATCTAAATTTATACGGTCTTACGAAAAATTCCTATTTCATAACAGTCAGTTTAACAATCTAATTATTTTTATATAGCCCAATAACTGATCAATCATCATCTTTTTTGTGAACGTCTTTCATTGAATTTTGATCAAGATTTTTCAGGGATTATTGAAAAGCTGAAATTTATCTACTCTATTCGGTAAGGTCATTATCGAATAAACTAAATCATCAAATTATCGATCGATTCTTGCATAATCTGATTTGCTGGGTTATCCTATTGTACAAATATTTTCCTATGTGCACGCACAGTACATAGTTTATGACAGGCTTATATATTACAACTTGAAGATTAAAAAAGTGTGAGGAAACTAAGTACCATACAAATCTATCGCAAAGCTGTAAATTTTTGAGTTTTTGAAATCTTACTCGATTCACTAGACATGCCGCATCATAATCATAAAACAAAAATGGAAGTTTGGTTTTCACTTCTTAATTCAAAAATTAATAAATTAATTAATAATATATAAAAAACCTTGAATATCCAAATGTATCAATTTAATTTAAATGAAATCAATTTCAGATTAGACAATGACTAGTAATATGTTCTAGGAATATTTATATAAGACATGCGCGTTACAGTAGGTAAAGCATCTATTCAATTTCTTCTTTTGCTTCTTTTACTTATATATCACCACTTCTTCATTCACAATCAGGTAATTATTTTTCATACTAAGAAATATTTTTTAATGCTAAACAACATTTGCCGGTCAAGCTAGTATATATATATACACATATAATTATATGTGTATGTAATTTAAAATTTCGTACCTGTGACATCTATATGAATCTCATTGTCAGTTTCTCATAGGTCCGTAAATTCTAATTTAATACAGGCAGCTATGTTCGACCTAGCAATGTAATAGGTGAATGTTCCTGAAACTAAAAATAAAAATGTTATTAAACTAAATATATTAAACATGTTATATTTATAACATATGTAATATTATATACTATAAATCAAATTAATTCAACAAAGTGGAAAGCGCGAATTAGCTACATAAACTTTCTAAAAAATTAAAAAAATAAATTTCTGAAAATCTTGTAAAATCAATTTTTATGGAGAGAACAAAAAACTATTATTTTGAAAATAATGTAACGCAAATAATAAAAGTCTTTTAATAATTTACGGAGATATTTAGAGACAAATTAAATAATGAACTAAATTTGAGAACTAAATTTGTGTGATAGTGCAAATCCGTAGATTGTGAAAAATTTAATTCTTACTTTTAATCACTAAGAATTGTTTGTTTACTATCGATTTTGTATAAAAATATATTAACTAATTTTTTTTTATTAAATCATTTAAATCGAATAAAAAAAACATTCATAAATATCATATATAAAAATGGAGCTCTCGATGGATTTTTGGCGTTGTAGCACTCTTTTTTTGCAAATCATATTTTCTGAAAGATCTCATTTGTATAATTATATACTCATTGGTATTTATAAAACATTTTCTAGGTTATATTATTTTTTTATTTATGTTATTTAAATTCAGAATCTAAGTTTGGTATCAATCAAAGGGACATTTTGTCGAATAACATTTTCCCAGTTATAACTTCGTAGAATTTATCGAAGAATAGATAGTAATGTATTAAGGTCCGGGGTTAAAAAGGTCCACCTGCGATGTGTCAAAAACCAGTAAAGTTGAGCATTGTTTAACAACAATATTTGAAAGTAGAGGAAAAAACATGTATAACCAGCTATAACCCTGATTTGAAAACTTTGCTATCGGGAGATAAACGGTAATCTTTGAAAATCCATAATAAAAGTATTTTCTTTCGTTGGTAGTTTTTTAGCTTTAGTTAAAAATGTAATTATTTTGTAAAATACCTTTAAAAATACAATAAGACATTAAACCTGTTTGTCACCTGGCCGTTCCAAGTTAACTTATTTTTGAAAGATATTAAAAAAGCCCATTTCTACAATTATTAAGTAGCTGGCAGTTTCACTAAACGTAGTCAGATAATAGTTCGTTTGAAATGTGTTATTTGTTGTGATATAATTGGTTTGGTTTCCATAGTATAGTTTATATTTGCTCAAAGTCAAATTGGACCTTTGTGCCTCGTCCTGGTCTACACATATACTTTTTATTAAATATACTTTAATACACCGAATGTTATTTGAAACTTTTCAAAAAGCAGGTCAAAGAAGAAATGCTTAATTTTCTATCTCTCTTCGCAGTAATTTGAAAATTTTGTATAAGCTTATTAGTATTATTTACAATTATACACAAAATTCTGAATCCAAAAAAATCTGAAAAATTTGAAACGTAATCAATAAGTCGAAAGACCAAAAAACACTTGGATTGAATTATACCATGTTTTCTATAGAAAGTGTATAAAACTTCCAGTTTGATTGTATTGACAAAATATAGATTAACTAATGGGGTTTATTATTTTTATAATACCTCATTGTATATAGCATTCAAACAACACATCCTTATACACTAAATGTATTTATTTTTTTGATTCTCTAGATATTGTTTAGAATATACCTTACGTATCAACGTTTGCCGGGTCAGCTAGTATATATATATATATATATATATATATAGACATATATATATATATATATATATATATATATATATATAGACATACTTCCACACTCATTTTTAAACTATCTCAAATGACACACTACGAAAGTTTGCACAGTGCTACATTACATTCACACATCAATATGTGTGTTGTCATATGAGTATTTGATACATTTTATGTTGATACAAATACATTCATATGCAATATAATTTTCATTCTCATCCACTAACATATTACTAATTCTTTCAAACCAAATATAAATAAAATACATAAAGTATTTGCCCATAAACAGGTGGCAAATTATTAGAACAAATCCTTTAAGAAACATAGTAAAGTTGGAAATAATATTTTTCAGCACTACATACACAAACAAATCATCGAGGGATGAAGTGGGATACTGGGACAGCAAATCTAGTGGGTTGATGGTTTTTGGTAGATATAAGTATGTGACGCCCTCCGGAGCCATATCAACCGTTTACTACTATGCAGATGTGAATGGATATCGAGCCAAGACCATTCACAAATCAATTAATGAAAACGACGCTACCTTTGATATTAATGATGAAGTTGGACCACTGGCTGGCCTTCCTGGACTAGAAGGAGGCGAAATTGAGAAAAACGGTTTTGAAAATGAAATAATACCACCCGAAGTATTGAAGTCTCTGCTTGGATAAAATGTCTATACATGTGCATTTTTTACATAAATCTTTTATATAAATATATGGTATATTATTTTTAATGTCAATTGTTGTAATCACTACCAAGTAATTACTGCATATATATAAATGAGTGTGTGTGCATGTGTGTATGTGTTTATATTTAGGTTTATTGATATTGATGTTAAAATACAAGTTGAAATAGATCGATAGATAATCTACTCGAGTATGTGCCAGATCAATAAGTAAAGATAAATTTAATAATAAAATGATAATTCACATTCATATCCTTGTTCACAAAAATCATCAATAAAAACTTCTCATTTGAATGCAGTTTTTATGACCTACAATTTTTTTTGCGTATTTTTCACACTGAATGTAAATAAATTTAGTGCCCTAAATGTTTGGAAGCCTATTAAATTGTTATACAATTAGAAACATAATTTAGTTTTCTTTATATTATATGGATTGACGCGTGAATACAGTAATTACCGTAGTTGGCATAAAGGTAATTTTTGAAACTGTATATATATATATATATATATATATGTATATATATTGATATATATATATATATATATATATTATATATAAACTGTATATATATATATATAATATATATATACAGTTTCAAAAATTACCTTTATGCCAACTACGGTAATTACTATATTGATAAAATCCATCATTAAACATTGTGTTGCGCCCTTGTGTTATGCAAACAACTAGTATTATAATATAGAAATAATGCTGATGTACTGTAAATACAAAATACTAACAATTTACAACAATGACATATGTGCTATTTTTTTTTTAACTATTTGAACAACAATATAAACAAAAATTTCAAAAGTAAAATCTCATACCTCGTTCAAAGCATCCTGCGGTAACAAATAACTATCTCTTAAATTGGATTTGATTATATATTCAAATATCTCTGGATAATCCATCGTTTCTGAAAAAAAAATAGTTTTATATGAATATTTTACATACTATAGTTTCAATACAAACCAATTAATCATATTTTATTTTTAATTGTTCTATTTTTTAAATAAAGATCTTCTAATCATTTAGGCATTCCATAGGAAAAATTGATTACTGTTTGCGCGTGCTGAAAACGAATAGTAACACGTTTTCAGAAAAACGGATTAGAAAATTTGAATAATGCAAGAAAAATTTGGTACTCACTAAGGACAAAAAAATTTCGTTCTTGGAAAAATACGCAATATCAAAGGTATATAGCAAAGATTATAAAATGTGGAAGATAAAGTGCAAAAATTTAAAATTTGTATATAAAAATTTACTTCACCAGCTTTGAAAAAAAAATTGAAACAGTTTTTTTTCCAAAAGCAATTATTTTGTTAAAACAAACAGAAAGTTCTTTAAATCATTCAAATCGGACGCTTAGTTCTCACAAAAACTGCCATTTTTTGCACATTTAGCTCTGTATCTTCGAAATGGCTGCACCTGTCTTTGCCAAAAACTAATGACCTCTTCTCCCAATCGTTACAAATTGAATGTTTTTTTAGATCATTCAAATCGAATACTCCGTTCTCTTAAAAACTCGATTAGTATTTTCCGCACTCTTTGCTTCGTATCTCCGTAACGACTAGACCTGCCTTTGCCAAAAACTAATCACCACATCTCCCTATCAAAAGAAATCGAAAACCCGTGCGCCCGAAAACGTGGACGAAAAAATGCGGACATACAAAACACACACACATCCATTTTTTCTGAGGTATGCCAAAATGTTCAGAAACCGTCAAAACGTGAAGATATGCAAAAATTTTTATTTTCGATTTTTGACCCATTACTATAACTACCTACTCCCGTAGGGGAAGTTAATAAAATGGAACTGCAACTGAAATTTCCAGGATTTTCCTCACCTCAAGGCACAATGACATATAAGTCTAGTTTATATTATCCATTAATAGAAAGCTTATTAATAATAAATGAGTAATTTAAGTTTTAATTCCTAAACGTAGTTATAATAATATGCTCATGAACTTTATAAGACGGCAAGTGCTGGTTTTAAATTAGCATTGTATATGCCTAATGAATTTATGCTTGTGTGTGTATTGGAGGAAACTTGTATTACATCATTGCAGTTATCATAATGCATTTGGCAAGAAAAAGAGCGGCTTATGAGAAGATGAGACACGATACTTTCCGTCGATATATAAGCAAACTGCACAAGACAAAAATACATAGTGCAATTTAAAAAACAAACGCAGTTTGCTACCATTTGCGGTAAAAAGTTAATTACAAACACTACAAAAATGAAAGCGGTAGGTATATATAAATATATATAGTTAAAAGTGCACTATGTGAATTCAATATATCTATAATATATCAAATATTATATTTAATATTAATATATAAAATAATATAATATTTAATATATTATATTGTATATATATATATATAAATATTTTTGTTTCAAAAATTTTTATATAAATAAAATAATCGTATATCTGGTAAACATATTTAAATGCAATATATCAATTTATTTGGCAAATTACTTTTCCAATTGCTTTTCAAATCAATTTATTGTAAAACAAAGTGAGATAGTAGTGTACTATTTTAGCTTTTAAAAATGTATTTTCAGCTTTTAAAATATGTTGTAAAAATGTATGTGTGCAAATCTGTTCAATCAAAAACTGTAACCAAAATTAAAAAAAACGCAATTTTAGTTAAAAATATCAGAATTGTTATTAGTAATATCTAGTTATTACTTGATTTCAGCACAAACTAATATTACATTACATATTTATTGAATTTACAGTTCATCGTAGCAGCTTTACTGATCGCCATGGTGGCAGCTCGTCCCCAGAAAGAAGTGGAGATCCTGCGTTACGACAGCGATAACATTGGCGTCGACGGTTACAAATTCGCGTAAGTTTAAATAATTTTTAACACTAAAATATACGAACGCTAACCCTTTGCCCAATTCTGATCATTTTACACTGAATTTCATCATTTGCATCATTTATCCCTTTGTCGCTGCTGTACGGAAGGGGCGAGCCGCTCAGTTGCACTACTGAACGGACAAGCACAACTATGTAATTTAAGATATTTCTATCATTATTAATAAAAATTTGTTGAAAAATTGAAACTTACGCTCAAATTCTCAAATGTTGAACTCATAATGATAGATCTTGAGGCAAAGACAAACATGTCGTCCAGGGACGACACCCGTACACGCAGCACGTCATGCGGATGACAACTGTAGCAAAAGGGTTAAAAATCATATTTTATTATTATTTAGCGAGAGGTTAAATATTTCTCAATTACTTTGAATAACACGCACTGTAAGCTTCATAATTCCAATCGGTTGGAAACACTGTTCAGGATCATTGTGCATTATTCAGCAATATTGCCTATTTTTGATAACTTATTCGGTATTATGTCATATTTTATTTTCTACATCTTTCATTGGTTTAACGTGAATATAATTGCTTTTCAAATAATTTCTTCGAATCTCATTGAAGTCATGTAAGAATCAACACGCACTCACACACAGACACACAAATTTAAAATAGTTCATTTTATACATTATATACGTATTATATGAGTAATCCAACAAAATTGCTAAAGACTTGCATGCGTATTAATGCTATGAATAAGAATTTAAAAAATCGGTTGGAAATAATAGAAATAACAAAGACATATATATATATATATATATATATATATATATATATATATATATATGCGTATGTATGATGTGTACACGTGTAATTAAATATCAATTTTGTAATAAATAAGGTATATATTAGCAATTTTCAAATGTTAAGTGAGCCTTGACATACTATTGCGGATGATTCTTTGGTATACGAAGATGTCAACAACAGCTCACATCAATTAATTTGACAGTTATATATTCTCGATGTAGTTGCTCAGTAATTTCATAATTACTTTCCAATATTTAGTTTATTGATATTACAAAAAAAACTGAATGTCAACATTTCAACAGTCATGTTAGTTAGGTACCAATTACGCATCTGGCAACTTCACAGCAATTAAAATGTATTAGATAAACGTAAAGTGGCGAGTATGTATTATAATATTCTTATAGTTATTGTAAACTTTGCCTTCACTTAGTAAATGTCAAATGCTATGTTGTACCATCACACTTTTATTCCGTGTACAACTTTTTATAATATTCGACAGCCTCATTGCATCATCTCCCATGAGCGCATGAAGATTATTATTATTACATCTGTTAGTATGTTTACCCAGTAAAGACACTAACTTGTATTCATTACTGAAGATCAATTACTTGTATGCAAAACATAGTGATTATTCGGTTCTTAAAATATCAGATTTATGGAGAAACGACAGTCGATCGTTCCAGCCCACTTAAGACTTGAGGCACCCAGTGGTAGTTAATTCGAGAAAATTACATTTTGCATCTTACGTTACAATATACTTTGGAACATAAGCAGTTTTTGTATTAAACATGAAGAAAACTAGTGAAGCCTGGCGGTATTGTGTCTTAATGCTAATTGCTGAAAATTAGCGAAGCTGTTTTAGAGACGAAATATAAAAGCGCGTAACGCCGCTTTTAGTCGCATTCTAACGGATAAACATTGGTACGGAACCCATAGAAATATGAACAAAATTTGTACTTATTACTAAAATCTCTATAAAATATTTGATAATTTGATGTGCGTAAGTCTAATGATCCTAATACACAATTTTTTTTAGACAAAGATATATAGAAGTTTTCATTTTCGTTTTTTTTGCTATTACTCTAACGTGTACTACGGGAAGTTAATAAAATAAAAACTTCAGTAGGTAACAAATCCTAAATAACAACAATAAAAAGCGATATGAACAAAACACCTTAAAGTAGAATATAAGCTTTACGCAATAGTATTAGCATTTAGCGTTGATTGAATTTGTACTTTTGTTTATGTTTGAAATATTTCATTCTGTAAAAAGAAATTAACAAATTTCATTTACTGCTCAGTGATTATCGCAAATTAATTACAAACAAAAAGAATAGTTTTGAAGTACAAACTGACAAACTTGAATTAGGTGGTTTTCGCAAATACACAGTAATGTCTCGTAATTGGAAATAAAATTTACAAACAACTTCAACTTAACAAACATTTTTCCGAACAACATATTCGAATTCCAAATTTGTCGTCCAAATCTAGCACAGAAATCTTGTTTTCTGTACGAATATATATGCATATATGTATAATAGAGTGGACCTTAATATGGACATTTTCGAATTTCTTTGCTCCCAAGTGCTCAAATGCTTCCAAATTAATTTAAAAAATCTCTAAAAGTTTTAGTTCTTAATATTAATGTTTAGATAGTCCGCAATTCAATTAAAGTTTTGTACGTTTATTATTAACATATGTCATTAAGTAAATTCTTGCGCCATCTGTGATAGAAGACTTTAGCACTTGTGATTTTTATTTTTATTAATTTCAAAGCATTTGAGCCTTTGGTAGCAAAGATATTCGAAAATATCCATATTAAGGACCACCCTAATGCATATATTATATATTATATATATTATAACATATGCTGAAAATTGTCTGCAATTATTTTCAAGAATATTTTTGCACATAAAACGAGCAAATTTGAAAAAATTGGTATATATGTGCAATTGTGTGCACGCGTATGGGTGGCCGAGAAGTGTATTTTTATTTTAATTAATGTATAGTTCATAAAATATTAAAAAATGTTTTTATCTTTTCATCTCATTCAAAGAAAATCGAAACAAACTAACATTTTATTTTATAAGAATCAATTTATCTGCATAATGCACAAAAATTCCGTTTCATTGGATGAAATCAATTCATTTGCTGTTTTTTATTCTATAGTCGTCTTAAAAAATATATGCTGCAGTAAAAACAAAATTATCTTCTGGCTTTTTACAATATGAAATAACAACAACGAACTAACATCGGATAATTTTTTTTTCTTTTTTATGGTTTCAACAACAATCAGAACTCTTACATTACATGTGCTATAAGCTGTTTGTTGAAGACTTATGTGACCGAACGTATTTTTATGAGAAGCAACCTATCGGTTTACCATTCTCCTATGTATGGGGTTTATATCAGCTCTTACGTCTAATAGTTATCATATGATTGAATGATGCAGCTATGTTTACGAAGAACGATTTTCCATTTGAAATTATATTTTGATCTATAACCTCAAGTGAAAATTTGACATCAAAGTTGCCTGATGTCGGGCTACGGCGGTAGCGGGAATCGAACCAGCGAACCCGGAACTAGTTGGCGCTAGCCCAAGTTCTAACCGATATCGCCACCGCTGGCCCGGATAATATTTCTATATCCGTTTTTGTGCCATTTCCATCATCATTATCATTTATAAAATGCCTCATAGACTGTTAATTGTAAATTTGCCCTTTATATAATATATTTCATTGAGTCTATAATTTTTTATTACTATCTAGCTACGAGCTGAGCGACGGAACCAACCGCCAAGAAGAAGCTCAATTGCAGAACGCCGGAACCGAAAACGAGGCAATCTCCGTCCGCGGCTCTTACACCTGGGTGGCACCTGATGGACAGCAATACACCGTCAACTTTGTCGCCGACGAAAACGGTTTTCGACCAGAAGGAGCACACATTCCGAAATAAAACCACCAAATTAAATTAGACTACTATGTATGATACTCAAATGATACCTGCATTGAATATGTACATGTATGCCAATATATTTAACTGAATTGTATTAACTTAAATAGATCAAAAGCAATATATATATATATATATATATATATATATATATTTGCACATATGTTATGTTATCATTATTAATCATATTTTATACAGAAAGTTCAAATGTATGAAAGATATTTAGAATATTGTGAATCAAATTAAAGTACAAAAAACTATGATATTATTGTAAAGCCTTTTGTAAAAAATTGAATTGTATGTGTACATTAAAAATACCAAACGTGTTTTATTTGAACAATTAATTCAACTTTAATCCCTTGTTCCAAAAAATATAGGTAACAAAAAGTCTACGGTCTAATTAAAACAAAGCAAAAATTCCAATTGCAATAATGTTTATAACAATTGATTTGACATAATTATTTCAAGTATTTCAAATGTATTTGTAGCCATATGCAAATAACATCTATCCGTTATTCTCTAATCATAATACAAAGTATTCATAAATTGATATAAAATATATTCCATAAATGCAATCTCACGGATGCTATTTATATTCAAAATTTGCGACAATTTATGCAATAAATACTTCGCTGAATTTTAAACTACATACTAAACAATATATTAAAATTGTGTATTAACTTGATTTGCTGCATTAAAAAAAATTAAACTCTTTATTTTATTCCTGTTAGTTGTTCATGATTTTACGACAACAGAATAAAATAATTTGTGAAGTATGTGTAAAATTGAAAACATCGGAGATGAATGATCAGTTGTTTAGGAGATACACGCTGATATGAAAATAGCTAGCAAACATAATTCTATATATAAAGATGAAATTGTGGATTCAGTTTAATCAATCAAAATAAAAATCTAAAATGCAATAATGTCTTCGTCAAGCTATTAGCGCTCTTTATTACCTATTAAAAATTGTGTTAATCTTTTTAAAATATAGATTAACACAATTTTAAAAGTAGTGGGGTGTATGACATCGTGTCTTAAGGCAAATTGCTAGAACTTCCCATACTGTAACGAAATGTTCGAGGAATATTGAATGTTTTTGAATAGATTATTATAAATATTGTAACATTATCTAATATTTATGAGAATTATATAAACTGAATTGCAAAGTTGAAATTGTTTGTTTAAAGTATATTTAAACTTTAGTCAGAATTAAAAACAAAATCTGCATTATTTTCGATAAACAAAAAAAAAATATATTGAAAAAAAAAATTGTAAACAAAAATTTTTTTTCTCCACAATCAATTATTTTGTTAAAAACAAGCTGAAAATTCTTTAAATCATTCAAATCGGACGCTTTTCTCAAAAACTGAATTTTTTTGCACATTTAGCTCTGTATCTTCGAAATCGCTGGGCCTGCCTTTGCCAGAAACTAATAACCACTTCTCCCAATCATTACAAATCGAATGTTTTTTAGATCGTTCAAATCGGATGCTCCGTTCTCTCAGAAACTCGATTTCTATTTTCTGCACTCTTTGCTCTTTATCTCCGTAATGGCTGGACCTGCGAAACTAATCAGCCATCAATTTAACCTTTTGCGCTCTGCACGGTATCGCGTAATTTTGACGAAAATGTTTATTTAAGTTAAGAAAAGTTTATTTATCATAGAAATTTTAAAATATTTTTATTAGTTCGAAATTAGGCGGAAGGAAGGATCTTGAGAAATCATCATTCGACGAAACTGAATAAAAACCCGCTTTGAATAGTTTTGCAAGACGATCGCCCGACCCGTTTAGAAATAGCAGCAAAGTGTAAAATTTTTGGTCAACGTTTTCGCAATAAATCTTGAACCAATTATGCTGCTGAGGGTCATGTTGATTAGTTTTGTGCAAATAACGTTCGAACCGTTTCTTCGAAACTTGATATATTGATAGAGGTTCATGCTGTAATCCAATAAATATATTCCCAAACTTTTTTGTGCCGTGGTCTTTGTCATGGCCCCCCATTTACCCGATATAGACTTTTACCTATAACTTACATATTTTCATAAAAAAGAACAATACTTCCAATTACTTTTTTGTTCTATTTATAAATGTTGCATAAGGCTTTTTATTATGGATTTAGTAAATAGATATCAATGTGGTGTATTGTGATCCACTACTGTGGACCACATTTTCATTTTGTGGATTCCGTAATTTTTTCCGGCGACGTAGCCCCCTTGAAAATTGTCATGGATTACTGGGTATCCATGTGAACAACTTTGGAAATCAATGTTCTAAAGACATACGAAAAATTATTTAATTACAAGAAAAATTATTGAAGTTAAAATATTGGGCCGCACTTCTGAAACGATATACAGGCGCGTGTTTGTGCATTAAAGTACAATTACAGATTTTATAAAACTGTTCAAAACAAATCAGAAATCGCATTGATTAATTTTTAGTGAGAGCAAAAAAATCGAGATAAAAAGTTGAAAATGTTATACCACTTACACCTCACATGACAATATTAATATTGAATTTATAGACAAAGTAATAAAACAAACCAGTGTTCAACATTTCCGAAAACTAAAAAATCATACAAATTGTTTAGTCATTCAGCTTCTTGAGACACCAGTCTCAAGAAGACTGAAAAAGAAGCTTCCAAAAGACAATATTCAAGATTATCAACGACACAACATTTTGAAGAAATGAACAGAATTGATGAATCACTATTGGAGTGATTACTATTGATATACTACAATTCAGCACAATAATTTCATATGCAATATTTCATATGTGTGTTTAGAAATGTGAGGGTATGTGTGTGAATGAATAAATCACGCCAAATAGCTCATAGAATATTGTATGTATTCTGATTGCTGTTAAAACTAGTGGAGTATGGCATCGTGCCTTAAGGCAAATTGTAGGAACTTCCTGTACCTTAATTAAATATTCGAAGAATATAAAATGTTTTCAAAAAGATTATTATAAATAATGTAACGCTCATTATTCTTATTTTTTTAAAAAATAAATAAACAAAACTTAATCAATCGGATTCAAAGTGAAGGACATTGTCTTATATTTCTAAGTATTATAAAAACTAAAACTGCAAAGTTAAAATTATTTATACTTCAAGTATAATAAGTAGGCTTTAAAATTTTATCTCGATTTAGAACTATGATCCAACTTATTTTTCAATATTCAAAAAAAAAATGTTTTTTGAATATTAAAATAAAAAAATTAAAAAATTCGTTTTTTCAAAAGCAATCGTTTCGTCAACACAAGCAAAAAGTTTTTTAAATCATTCAAATCTGATGCTTAGTTTTATTAAAAACTGCCATTTTTGCACATCTAGCTCCGCAAAACGGCTGGGTCTGTCTTTGCCAAAATCTAATCACCACTTTTCCCCATCAATAGGAATCGAATGTTTTCAAATCGGATAATCCGTCCGCCAGAAATCGTCGACAAAAAAAATGTCTCCACACACACATACTCATTCTTTTTTTTAGGTATGCCAAAATGTCAAATCTAAGAAACGTAAAGATATGCAAAAAATTTCATTTTCAATTTTTGACCCATTACTATAACTTACCCTACGGAAAGTTAATAAAAAAAAAAACAAAACTTACACCTAATTTATTAAATACTTATATTATACCTTTTCAAGTAATCTCCAATACAGCCGACGGTGTTTGTACATTTATTATAAGCACGTGTTGGTATAGCCTCGAGTTTTTCTAGTTATGCACTTTTATTTTCGCCAATTAATTCACAGATAATTAAGCCGGTATAATCCAGTGAATATAATATATTGTGATTATGGATCTTCGGTTTGATTTCGACAACCACGAATAAGCAAATGCACATCCTAATGCCTACGCCATCGTAGTTGAAAAACACTGCAAAGAAATCTATGAAATCCTATCGAATGTTGGAGTCAGATCTAATCCATCTTGAAAAAATTTCAACACATTTATTAACCTATGCATATTTTTTTCTTGTTAGGGCAGATATCATATACGCATCTCGTCTTGTATTTTAAAGCTTATGATTCCATTTTTTGCATAAAATTTCATATAAACTTTTGCTCCATTTATTTATTAATCGAAAATAAGGAAACACAACAAAATACATCTTGCAGTCTAACTTGTTGATCTGTCAAAAATAAACCAACATTAATAAACTGAAGCATAGATTATATTATGCAACAGAAGAACGACAATCGAAATTATTTGATGCATCGAAAAATCGATAATTGAACGTACCTTGCCCGCTAAATTTAAAGTACAAATTTTTGACACGCGCACATATATGTATGTATGTATGTATGTATGTATGTATGTATGTATATATATATATATATATATATATATATATATATATATATATGCATAACTAGTATTCTAATTTAAATTTTTAATTTAAATATGTTTATTCTTTTTCACAGATATGACTGTCATTTAAGTATTATTAAATTAGTTCATTGATTGTGGTCACACTTGTACTTATTCAACTATTAAACTTATTTAACTATTATAAAATCGCATGGAAGATGCATGAAAGTCTATTAAAAGTTTTTAGAAACATAATTTAGTTTTTTTCAATCATCAGGATAGATGCTTGTTAAAACGCTATATATAGGATAGGGAGGGACACAAAGGTCCAATTTGTCTTTGAGCAATTACATTGTGAAAACCAAACCAATTATATCACAACAAATAACACATATCAAACAAACAACTATCTAACTATGTTCAGTAAAATATCAGAGCTAATTCATTGCAGAAATGTGTTTTTGTTGCTGTTTTTAAAAAAAATGTAATCTGGTACTTTTTACCCCATAGGCGGGGTAAATTTGGTAAAAACGGCCAGGGGGTTTAATGGCTTATTTTTAATTTTAACGGGATTTTATGAAATAATAGCTACATTATTCAAGCAAAGCAGAATATAATTTTTACAAGGATAACACAGTATAAATCTTGATCTAGTATCTCATCAGAAAAATTCATCAGCAGAGTTGAAATAACTTTTTATTTGATTTATGTCTTGTAAAATTGCTTTTTTAACTAAATTTACAATCTATTGTTTATATATTTACTTGGGTAAAAGTTCTGATTTATTTTTTTATGATGATCAGAACAATTTAATTGATTTTATCGATAAAACTGAGAAATCCATTTACCTAATACTTAAAAACTATTAAGAATGTACATAATAGCACTTATATATTTGCATATAAACAATAAACCTCTCAAAGTGCCTACATGCGCAGTTGCATACTTATGTATCAATCAATTTTTTATTCCACGTACATCAACTAGTGCCTATGTAGTTTATAAAAGATTCAAAATAGCAAAAATAATATTATTTTCTTTTCAATTATTATGTTATAATGGCCATTAGAAATTGACCCGAATAGACAAGGAACATTTATAGGCTTTCGAATAATGCTAATTAAAAATTATGTTTTTAATTAAATTATGTTTTATATTTTTCAAGTACTAACAAATTGTTGTTTAATTTCATTTTAATATACACTTCGCATATTTTAAATGATATATCTGTCAGACGATGAAGCATGAACGATGAAGTTGAAAATTGGCATATAAAATTTTTTTGAGACGACTTTTAAATGGTATATAAATTATTAACTAGCTAAGTTGTCATATTCGATACACAAACTGTTTATATTTAAAAAAATAAAAATATGGAACATTAATATATTAGCATAAAAAGTATTTTATCATTCCATTGATTAAAAGTTTCTAATATTCCTCCGTAGTAAGTTATATTATTTTACAGCACAATGTTCGATTCCCAGATTAAAAAAATAAATAAAATTAGATAAATTTGAATGCATTCTAAAGTTTAATCAATCTCCAGTATAGTATCAATTTCATCTTAAATATTCAATATTTTTTATTTATACCTGCAAAAATAGTGGTAATGAAACCATTAGAAAAACTGTTGACTTAATAAATTCAGATTTTTTAATTTTTTTCTTATTTAATATTTTTGAACAGCAAATAAAACTTAATAGTTCTATGAACAGTTAAGATAAACCTCTTATTGAACAAAGTGCTTTGCAGTTGGCAACCTTCATTGGGGAATCTATCTCTATTTGATATCATTATTAGATTTTAGCTAATGCTGATGATATATATTTAATTTGGTAGAGAAATTCCAGAAAGCATTTCTACTGCTTGATATCTGGTTGGCCGAGGTGGGTATCTGACTTGGAACCCTGTGGCTGCAAGGACATAGCCATGACATAGTTTTTACTTCTAATCCGCGGAATCCTCATATACAAAATTAGTGAGAAAAATAATTGAAATCGAGATGAGGAAGCTCGAAAGAAAAATTCCTAAAAAGAATAACTAAAGCAAGTTGAAAATATTAAAAATTTCACAAAAATTTTATATGAAAATGTGTATTATTTGAATTTCGAATATTCAATGAAAGTTTTTTATAAGCCAATTGATTGAGGGAGATAGTAAGTTTAATGTTCGCGTCTTAAATAATTTGTGTAATTGTTAAAATATCGGAGCCATGTTAAAAGTTTCAGAAAAATGTTTTCCAACAAAAAAACTGTAATTTAATTAAATTAAATTCAAAAGCTCGAAATTGGTAAAGAACGTAAATCTATAAAGTCCATATTTTCATCATAGATTTCCAGCGAATTAATGAATTTTTTTTTTGTTATCATATCAAGATGATTACACAGGTCTACAAAAAAAGTTGTCTGTATTGTAATTCGAGAGGGTCAAATGGAAAAAATTGAAAAAAATAAAAATAGACGTTTTACCTTAAAAAACTATTGTGCTTCAATTAAATAATCTATTGAGTTTTTTGTATAATTTAGTATTGATTTGCAAACATACTTACTCCCTTGTTGTCATTTGACTCCCAATTTTGGCAGTCGATTCATGTTCAGTGGTAAAAACTACATTGGAAAACTCAAAACTGACAAACTTTTCTTTGGACCTGTATTATCATGAATGCAATCAACATTTCAAAATTATTTATATATATAATATTATATATATATAATGTCTTTTTTTGGATATCTAATATTATTTGATTTTATGATTCTGAACTAGGAGCATCCTGTCTTCCAAAAACAAATATTCATTCAATAAATCATTTATAATTTTTTTCTACATTTCGTCGATATCTGTTCGTCAAGGTATTACAAACAGAAAAATTCATCATATATTTATACACCGATTTAAATCAATTATATATATACAAGTAGCAAATTTTATTACAGATGGTAGTATTTGTATTCTTGGCCGCCCTCGTCGTAATTGCTTCTGCCATTCCTCAAAAAGAAGTAGAAATAGTGAGTTTCGAAAGTGAAAACCGAGTTGACGGATATAACTACCAGTAAGTAAATCTTTATGTACTTAATGTATTAGTCAGTATTTAACTTAACTTCAATTCTAATACCGATAATCATCCAAAACGTAGTCAGTATGTGCGCATCATCATTGCCGGACGCCCAATCCAAGGATTGGCATTCGATTCATATATTTTTTAAGTATGACCAAAAATTTGGAGATGTCCAGGATGGAATAGGCAAAAATATATGTAAAAAAATTATGTGCGCATTAAACTGTGATCTATACGAAATCAGTAAAGAGAACAAAAATTTTATGAACGATTTATATAATCAAATAAAATAATGCACATAGTAGATATTAATTTTAAACATAGATTATGTGTAATATTTCCACAAAATTGTTAGAGAAATATGCACATTTTCAATCAAGCGTGAAATAAATGGGTTCAAGCGTAAGATTATTATATTAGCACGGAACCCTAATTATAAAATCAACTATGAATTAATACCATAATTTATTATATTTTATATTTACTTATTTATAGATCAATACAATTATGAACGTTATTTCATAACTTAGAAGCTAAATTCTTACAGCGGTTAAGTGATAATACATTTTTAATTCTGAGGTGCCTGGTGCCTCCATAATAATTTTTACATAACAATAATAAACATCTATTTACCATATTTTTGAAAATGAGCTTTTACCCAAGCTGTAATTAAATTTATTTAATGTAAATTATAATTTTTATTTCATTATATTTAATTCGTAAGATAAACAATCGATTCCAATCGTTTATATGTGTATTAAACAATGCGACAAAACAATATGTATTTAAAAAAAACTACCTAATAATTTTCTAATATCATTATCGACTTTTTTAACATAATTTAAATATTTTGATTTTTGTAAGTATAATATAACACAAAATTCAAGTGCTTCAATAGTACTTCAATAAAAGAAATAGTTACAGTTGAAAAACAGTATAAAAGGTCTGCATTTAGATGAGATATTATTATTTACATTAAAATTGTTTCAAAACTATATTTTTACTATCATCAATCTACCACGCGTTTATTGAAGAACTAGAAAACTTCTCATAAATTACACAAGAATGGTGACAATAAATTTCAAAAATAATATAGCTTTTTAACCCGCACCTTATTTGGACAGTTATTCTAAAAGATCCAAGCTAAGAATCTGATCATCTTTTCGAATAATATTTTCAAAATTTACTTATGCAATAAAAAATATATGGCCCTTTAGAAAGTATTTGTTTTTGAGTGTATTTCTCGATTTATTTTTCGTTTTAGATGAATTGGTAGATAACATTTAGTATTGATAACGGGATCAGTATTAAATCGTAAAATTTGTAAAACAATATTATTTGGCAAGAAAGTAGTAAAAATAGTTTTGATTCGGTATTTAACCCATTGCGGTCGGCATGAAAAAACACATAAAAACCGTGATATTAGAAACGTGAATCGTGACTGTCCTGGTTGATTAATTGAATAATTGCAAGTTGAAAACTAAATAAAGTAGCAGGAATCTCTAGATAGTTTACGAGTGAATCTCAAACCCGCAGTTAACCTTTAAGTTAATAGCATAGCAACACTAACAAGTTAAGCAAATAGACGGGTCATTTTACATTATTATCAAATATATCGTAATAGACATGCAGTTGTCCTTGTGTTGTTTTCGTAACTCGCGAAAAATTCTAATAATTATTTGCAAAAATGCTCAATTGACACATGCAAGTGCATGCGTACATAATTAAACGCACATCCGCATACATACCTACACACACACAGACATATATATATATATATATATATATATATATATATATAATCCTATCGTTGTATAAATTATCACTTCTCCATGTTCAAATTACATGAAAATGTCAATATCTACAATTATCTGTAAAAGATTAACAGGTAATAAAATTGACTCACGTGAATATCTTTTTATCAACAGGTCAATAAAAATATTTTAAATAGTTTCATTGAGTAAGTAATCATCGTAAAACGTAACATATTGATTGAATAGTAGCTTAAATCAATAAAAAATAAAATCGAATATTGCAACCACTTGTCTAAATATTTACAAAATACTTGAATTATCTATAATGTCAGCACTCGTAAATACTTTCAGAAGTTTTATTATGCAATGAAAATTGAATTTGACACAAGATTGCCAGAGGTTGGTTGTATAATCTACTTTGCCTGATTTGACTCAATCGTCTAAAATGCAGATTATGTCATTTTCAACAAAAAAAAAATTTTTTTTTATTTACATTTAAGAAGTTTTTGGCCATGATATTAGGGTGGTTCTGAATTCTATCCTTGTATCTCAGACTGAACTTTTCAATTTCTTCCTTAACAGTGTTAATGTTAAAATCTGTATGAACCAACCAATTTGGGACACACTTGGGTGCCACCAAAAATTGACAAAGCAACTTTTTTGTCTAATCAAAACGAGTAGGTACAAAATAAAAAGTTCTTTTCAAGTTATATTAATTCAACGTGACCTGATTCTTATTTTCAAAGTTTATATAAGAATTAATACCTTATTGAATGAAATTTATTAATAGAACTCATTTCAAGTAATATTTTGAGGCATGTGCAACAACTGTAAAATAAAGATCAGCCATTTAAATTAAGTTTATTTTTATACATGCATTAAAAAATTACATTAACAAGTAATTTTGGCGAACATGTAAATTGTAAGCAATTTTCAATTTACTTTAAACCGAATATTATTGATATATTAGTATTGAAATGTGTTTTGTAAGAATTGTAAGATTTTAGACAACATACCTAGTGCTATAGACATTTTGAAATTTCTAGAGAAAGATTTTAAAATTCAATTTAGATCTATTTTGATACTTGCATTAACAATAGATGCATCCAAGAATAAAATAATAATTATGGGTAGTACTGCCCTAGGGCAGGTCCGTGAGCTAAGTTAAACTTTAACTCGATTCAGGGAAGAATAGTGTGAGAGATTTCCTATTGCCATTTTACACAGAATAACCGTATTCAAGAATATGTAGTTAAAATTATTTGTTTATAGTATTATATATTTCATAAAACTGTATATATATATATATATATATATATATATATAATATCAAGAAAAACTATCAAGATATATATATATATATATATATATATATATAATATGTAAAAAAATTAGACAAACAGTATAATTTTAAATCCCAAGATCAAAGATTATCTGATTTATATTTCACCACTTAAGGGTTCAAAAGACTCGCTCGTAGGTAAGCGGTTAGAACGACTGGACCTGAATCAGAGGTCCTGGGTTAGATTCCACTTCGAGCAGCTTGTTATCAAGCAGTAGTGACAACGATTTCCACTTGAAAATATAGATAGTGAGAATAGCCCTCACCCGGCACAACTAAAAATATTTACCCTATTACAGAAATTGTAATAATAATAATACATCTTACAGAGATGGGACAAATGTTTGGGTTGTCATCTGTCGAAAAACAAATTAGTATTGAGTCAAATTAGCACAATAGCTTATAAGATGATTAAGTTCTAATTGCTGTTCAAAACATTTTTTTTTTCAAAAAAGAGTTCAAAAAGATCGGTTTAGAATATATGAATACGGCAAATAATAAACGACCTCAAAAATTAATTTCCAACATAGTGTTCATGATAGAACAATACATGAAATCAATTGCATTATTTATTGATTTTTATAGCAATAAAAATAATGATGCATTTATATTGTAAACAATAAATTAAGCTTTTAAATTAATTAGCAAATACCTCATAAATAAAAATAAAATTTACATAGAAGAAATTTATATGGCATTAATAAATGTCCAATTTACATGGATTCCCAATTGACGATGGACATGTTATATTATTGCAGATATGAAACAAGCGACGGAACAAAGAAGCGCGAAGAAGGTCAATTGAAAAACGTTGGCACGGATGATGAAGCAATGGCAGTACAAGGAACCTACGAGTACGTAGGTGATGATGGCAAGGTATACAGGGTATCTTACACTGCCGACGAAAATGGCTTCCAACCAGAAGGCGATCACATACCCAAGAAGAAATAGAACCGACGATAATATTTTAATGTGATGGCGACATCACGTGTACAACCTAAGGCAAATTACAATTGCCGTTTGTCAGCTGGCAATTGATCGATTCTACTACCATTTCGTTTATTATTGCTAATTGATTTTGTCTTTTGATGTACATGCGATATCGGCATTACACAGAAGACTTCCGTATGATATTAGAAATTTGTACAAAACCGCATTCCGATAAATGATTATTCTCTCAAAGCCAAATTCGATAATAAGAAAACAATAATAAATAAATATGTGATTATAACTTATAAAGTGTTTTTCTTGAATATGCATTTAACCCTTAACCCTATTTAAAATAATCAAGCATTTTTGGTTAGGACTATGCAATTTTTTTTTTTTCCAGGTGCATGATATTTCTAGAAAATAGTATTTCTCTCATTTTTAATACATTAGGTATAGGTTCTGATTGCTGTTCAAATAACATATTTATTAGAAACATCATTTTCAAAGAAATTGCATACTCTTTGCTTTTGTAGAAGATACTTTGAAATTAATTTCCCGTAGGGTAAGTTAAATTCCATAACAACTGAAAACGATTATTTGCTTATATCCATACGTTCTAAACATTTGATCATTTTACCTTGCAAAAAATATGCATGTTTGTTCATATAAAACTTTCGTATTTTGTTGAAAACGGTTATACTGATTTGAGGAATTTTGATTTTTTTTATTAGAGAATATTTGATTTATTATTTTGATTACATAGTGTTGCCATCTAAATTTGTTGTCCTTTCCCTTCAACCGGCAGTGAACGAACGGTAGGCAACATTTACCACACATCACATTTTTGTTAAAAATTTGTTAATAAATTTCATTAAAATTTTATTTAATCCCATTTCATTGAGACTGATTTTCTTTTTAACTTTAATATAATCGATCACACAAATCGACACCAGGCAAATTCTAGTCTTCGGAGATTTTTAGAGATTTATTCTATTTACTATGGCTTAAAATACATTAAACTTTACTCACATAAAAATAAAAAATTAGATAATAATTGACTAATATAATGTATATTAGTATATTATATACATTAAAAAATATGGCCGCTTTGCAATACAAAATCGACCCAATCCCATAATTTTTTATATACGTATAGAAAAAAATCGATATACCCATTTTCATCTTTTTACCTTATTATTTGGCCGCGATATCATTGAAAATATGCAAAATTGTTTCTCTATTCAATCTCTCTTTTTGTAGTAAGCGTAGAACATATCGAAATAATTTTTGTGGTTGTATTCGTTATGATCTGATAATCAAAAGTATGCCTATAGAATCGATAGGCATTTGATGAATGATGCTATTTATCATTCATTTCAATTTTTATCATAAATCAATCAATCAATTTCAATATTTTTAAGTTCTATTTGGTAGACCACATTCAATAGTTAGCAAGTTGCAAATTTAATATTTCGAATAAATTTTAATTTTTCGAATTTAATATTTCGAAGTATAATTTCGAAAGCTGTCTTAAGTTTCAATGGAAATTAGAATAAATACTCCATTAATTGATATATCACATACAAAATGCTTACTGGCAAGATAATTTTTAGTGTATAATTTAATAATAATAATAATATTTCCAACTTCATAGGGTAAATTACAGTACTCGCAAAAAAATTTAAAATATAAATTTTTCACACAAAAAATTGATGTGTGTGTGTAGTAGAGATGGATTAACTAGTTTGAATTATCCAAAAAACATGCGATACCTGACTAGGAGACGTGTTGATTAGGTTTTGTCTAATCGACCAAGTGCGTTTTATGAAAACAACTATGGCGTTGTATGGAAACCGTGCTATAAGAATAATTATAAATAGAAGCAATTATACCGCGTTATATGAAGTCCTGTACATTCGAAAAGCATGGTAAATTATACATTATTTTTTATTGAATTAAAAAGTTCATATAAAGATATGATAAAAAATAAAATAAAAGCAAAATTAAAACACTATTTTTCAGCAAAAATTTTACAAGCAAATTTTTTTAAAAAAAGACTAACGTTCTGCGAAAGATCTCTGAATCTACTAAAAGCATGCATGTTTATACAAAAAAAAATATTGTAAAAGATAAAATGATTGGCGATAAAACTTATATTAAAAACTTTTACATTAATATCTAGTTACTAAAATCATTCATAGGTCGCACGGAAAAAACTTGTGGAATAACGGTGTTATAGAAAGAATTTTGGCTGCGCATAGTTATTGAAGATTTTACTGTATACTGAATTAAACTTGACAAAAAAAATCAATCTCACTTGTATCGTTGTGAAGGACCCAGACGTTAATCTCACTAAAATTGTCCTGGTTTCAACAATATCTCGCCCACGCGGCTCAGCGACTCCAGTCCTCGCGTCGATTTCATTCCTTCAAGACACAGGAACAGAATGAACGAGAGAGTTTGAAAATTGCCATAATTTCAACAGACAATCAGCAATGCTATATTGCAAAGATAAGAAGTTGTAAACAAACCATTTGAAGTTGTATCAAAATATCGATAAAGAATTTGCCCTCTGTTGGTGTATTTAATTGTAATTCCAATCTATATTTTCTTGAACATACTTTGGCAACTGAGCTGACGGGCTGACGGTATCTTGAAAGAAAATAACAAGGGCAAGCAAATGATTGGTCAATATTTTCAGAAATGAATATTATTTAAATATCATAAAATTAATATTAACTAACAGTACTTGCGACTTTGTTCGCATGAAATTTAAAAAAAAATGTTAAAGATGATTGCATTTTTATGTTAATTGCTATTTATTTTTAGTTTTTTATATTGGCATTATCGAGAAAATTTCTTTTTATGCATTATTTATTGTATAAATTATATAATAGACTAATACAACACTTTTCGCCTTTCTCATGCTTTTAAAGAGATGTAACTTTCTTTTAACCATTAGTAATGAGGGTACATTTAACAAATAAACTAGTGGGCATGGCATTATGCCTTAAGGCAGATTTGTTAGAAAATCTATTTAAAAACATTGAAAATAATTGATAATTTTTTATTGATTGATTATTTTTATTATTCGAACGGTTTAATTGCGGTACGGGAAGTACCAGCATTGTGCCTTAAACCATAATGCCATGCACATCTAGTGATTCGATCGTATCGTTTGTTACAATATCCATTACTACTATTAAGTATAATCACTGCCTTCTAAATTTGTCCGATGTTAAGTTGCAGATCGTCCACAATGAGGTAGTTCAGGTAGAATGCTTGGGCGCCGCTTAATAATGTAGAAATAGACCTAAAATAATTCTCTATCTATAAGATAAAATGTGTATATGTTAAGATATTATGAGCAGTTGAAAATGAAATTTGAATAATTCCAGATATATATATATATATATATATTTATTTAAAGATCGGGCGCTACATAAACTAAATGGTTTTGCTTATTTTAAACTTATGCAAATTACATGAACTTCCCGATATTGTAAATATCGACTTAATCAAAAAAAATGTGGTAAATAATAACTTCATCAATCCGCTTAAAAAAAACGATAATAATTTTAGCAAGTTTTGACGAATTTTTAAATTAAACTACTTGTTGTAAGGCCGTAATATTACAGTAAGTTCTATACGACCATGATGTATATCGCCAAAAAAAGTTCCATGAAAAAAGGCTTAAATTTTTTTTAACAGTTCATTACAAGAAAACGGCTCGGTAGATTTTCACCTAAATAATCAGCATCATTCCCTAATGATATCTTCGAACAGTTTTTGATTTTTCAAAATCGGTTCGGTAGGATGAGCTTAAATGTGGACGAAATTTAACACTTTTTTTTCAAACATTTAATTACAAGAAAACGGCTCGGTAGATTTTTCACCTAAAATTAATCAGCATCATCTCTAATGATATCTTTCGAACAGTTTTTGATTTTTCAAATCGGTTTGGTAGGATGAGCTTAAATGTGGACGAAAATTAACACTATTTTTTCAACATTTTAATTACAAGAAAACGGCTCGGTAGATTTTCATCTAAAAATAATCAGCATCATTCCCTAATGATATCTTTCGAACAGTTTTTGATTTTTCAAAATCGGTTCGGTAGGATGTGCTTAAATGTGGGACGAAAATTTAACACTTTTTTTCAACATTCAATTGCAAGAAACCGGCTCGTAGATTTTCACCTAAAATTAATCAGCATCATTCCCTAATGATATCTTTCGAACAGTTTTTGATTTTCAAAATCGGTTTGGTAGGATGAGCTTAAATGTGGACGAAAATTTAACACTTTTTTTTCAACATTTATTACAAGAAAACGGCTCGGTAAGATTTTCACCTAAAATTAATCAGCCTCATTCCCTAATGATATCTTTCGACAGTTTTTTGATTTTTCAAATCGGTTCGGTAGGATAAGCTTAAATGTGGACGAAAATTTAACACTTTTTTTCAACAGTTATTACAAGAAACGGCTCGGTAGATTTTCCCTAAAATAATCAGTTATCATTCCCAACCAATATCTTTCGAACAGTTTTTGATTTTTTGAAATCGGTTCGGTAAATGAGCTTAAATGGGGACGAAAATTAACACTATTTTTTCAATAGTTAATTACAAGAAAACGCTCGGTAGATTTTCATCTAAATTAATCAGTATCATTCCCAACCAATATCTTTCGACGTTTTTGATTTTTTAAAAATCGGTTCGGTAGGATGAGCTTAATGTGGACGAAAAGTTCAACACTTTTTTTCAAATTACAAAGAAAACGGCTTGGCAGATCGTTGCACAAAACTGACAACGATAGTCCTCACCGAAATACATCAAATGGCTTTAAATTTCTAAAATCGGTTCAGGCGTTTTTGAGAAAACGTCGAACAAAATCTAATTTTGACAAATGCCAAAAAGACCATACTGATTTTCAAACTTTGACGAATTTTTAAAGCTGGACATTGTCGTAGGGCCGAATATTTTAGTATGATCTAGAAGACTATGGTATCTATCGTCAAAAAAATAATCATAAAAATCGTCGAATTTTTTTTAAAAACTTTCTTACAAGAAAACGGCCCGGCCGATCTCTACCAAAAACTAATCAGCACGATTCCCAACCAATATCTTTCGAACGGTTTTTTTGATTTTCAAATCGATTCATAACTGCGGGCTAAAAACGTGGACGAAAGAGTTTTCACTTCTCTGCTATTTACGAAAAACGGTTTGGCCGATCGTCGCACAAAACTGACAAACAATAGTCCTCATCGAGATACATCGAATGGCTTTAAATTTTTTGAAATCGGTCAGCCGTTTTGAGAAAACGGCGATTTACGGCAAAAAATCTGTTGGTGCACACGCACACACACACACACACACCCACCACACACACACACACACACATACTTTTTCCAAATTTGTTCTCATTCGATTCAGAATGGCTTGAAACGTCGAGAAAACATAAATTAGCGAATCGGATTTTTTGATGAAAACATAAACTTCTCCTTCGGGAGTTAATAAAAAATGCATAAATGCTTATTTTTTAAACTTATTTTAAATCCATACGTTTAGGCTAACATCCTAGCCTTCATTCAGTGATATATTAATTTGGTATCCTCAATTAATAAAACACTATTGCACATAACGTATAGCATTAATAACGTAAAGCAAATTAATATTTCAATTTTTATTCTATTTTGCTTAGTTCTTAATTTATTATCAATACTTATTAATTTTAATATTATTAATTTCACTTTTTCACTTAGAATTTTCAATTTTAATATTTCGTTTGTTTTTTCCCATCCTTGTTTCACCCTGCTTCGCCATCGTTTCTATATGGCGTGATTTTTCATTAAAAATTAATTAGTCATATGGCATACACCATCTTATTATTTAACTTTAAGTTTATTATTTTATTTTATTGGTTTGTTTTGTTTCTTAAATATTGTCTTTAAACTGTGTGTTTTTTTTTTTTTTCTGGTTTGGTATGTATTTATATTTTTATTTGTTATATATTTTACCTGTATTACTGTACCTAATGTAGTAGAAATATAGGAGAAACAATAATACACATAGGTAAAAAGTCCAGATAATTTTTTTTTTACAAGATTTAAGTATACATACTTTTAGTTATAAGCATGTTAAATTAAAAAAAAAGAAAATTGCAGATCATAAACTGAAATAATGGAAAAAATTAAATAAAAGTAAGCTTCTAAAATTGGTCATTTCATTCTTTTGACTTTGCACATTCTAATAATTTTCTATCCGATTCCATAATAAAAAAAAAATTAAAATCAAGTTTAAATGCCTAAAATGATATTGCACATACTCATATCATTTATAGGTGATTTTCAAATAATTATTTCTTTAGTACATTAATGTAATATTTATTTTATGTGATAATATATCTTATTGACTTGCTCGTCAATTTATTTGTTATTCACATAAATGTTCTGATAGGAGCAATGAAATACCACAACATGAAATCATACACTTTATTATAACAAATTGTGACAAAATCTTCAAATGACAAAAATCAAGCAGATCTTCTGGTTATCTTCCAATTTGAAATATTTGTTTAAATTTTTATGATTATTAAAATGTATCATCAAAACTATAAAACACAATCAAAAGTTTCATAGCAATAATATTGCATCATAAATGAACAAAAAATCTACAAATTTAAAAGCCAAATCATATCACCTACGATACAAGCATTTTTGCATATAATAAAACTGTATAAGTAATAATATGCAATTGAAAGGCAAGGTAAAAATTAATGGATAGAAACGGAAGTTTTATTACAAAAAAATTACAAATTAATTTATGTCAATGAATATAAATAGCAATTAGATCATCACAGTTAATTCTTAATATGCATTTTCAAACCGCCGTAAATTAAATTTTTTAGCTTAATTGTTCAACTTTATGCTATCGATGATTTTCAGATTTGAATTTTTTGCTATCTTGTTCCGTTGTTTGAGGAGAACCTGCTCTTTTAGAACTTAGAGCGTCATCTGAATCATTTTTAATTTTTTCAGGAAGCTTTTTATTGTCCCCGTGTAATTGTTGTAAACTAATAATGATTGCTGTCATGTTATCACAACCAGTACCATCACCCATTGTATTTGGTGCCAAACAGTGATCAAAAAGCTGAAATGTAAATTGCATAACTTTCAAATACTCAGCAATATAAGCAAAGCATAGTATGAATTAATACTAAGTTTACAAATCATAGCCACAGCATATATAAACAGGTAAGTCCCTAATAATATTTAAAATTACAAGTACAATTATATAAAATAAACAAAATAAGTAAAATAGAAATTGAAAATAAGCTTTCAGAATATCCAAAAATTATAATGATTTATCCGACTGATCATTATTATATTTATTTACAATGAACAGATATTTTATAAATAGGCAAATGTATATGCTCACCTGCTCTATTACACACGACAATTTCAATTCATCTCTATATCTTGATCTAACAAAATCGACTGTTTCCTGACTGTTCAGGTAATTCCAAATGCCATCACAAGCTAATATAATGAACTCGTCTTCATTTGTTAAAGTAATATGTTGAACGTCAGGTAAAGCAGTGATCATTTGCTCTGCCGCGGGTAAATTTTTATTCTATAAAGGCAATAATTCATTAAAACTATACCTTATTTTCCAATCTACACCTCATAATCTAACCAAAAAGAACTATAATTAAAATTTAAAATAGTAAGTATTGTGTATAAATAAAAATATTAGATTGGCAACTAAGTGTGTTCGGCTTTTACTCTTAGTTGGTTTTGATAGAGTTTTTAGGTTTACTGACATAGTTCAAATGTAATATGCATTTTGTTATTCAAGAGTAGGCATTCCAGCTATCAATCAGTAAAAAAAAGTTTCTTGATCAATTACAGTTTTCATTTGACATTCATTGAAAGATGAAAAATCAGATAATTTTTTTTTTTTGTCATATTTTGCTTTTATGTTTCTGCAAAGGTAAGAGGACATCTTTAGCTTACAAAATGTTATGAGCTGCTTATGGTGACAAAGTATTGAAAAAAGAAACAGCAGCATCAAATCAAAATTGGATTGTAAAACTTCGTTCTGGTGATTTTTCATTCAAAGGTGTAAAACACTCTGGTCGTCAAGCTGAAGTTGATTACAAAGAAATTGTTTACTTTCACTCTTACTACTGAACTAAATGTTCTTTAACTTATTACGTTTTGTTCAATCTTCATGTGACTCCTTAAATAGTAAATTATTCAATGATTATCATATGATGTCAAATTATACCTGATTCATTTTTTTGCTATCAAAAACCAGAGGTTTTCTAAGAGTTGGATAATGATGCTGCTTGAAAGATGACGAAAAGTTATTGATCAAAGTGGACTACACGTTACAGAATATTATTTTAGTTCCATGATAAACATGTCTTAAAATTTCTAACAAAAATCGGCGTAACTTAGTTGCCAACCTTAGTTATGATCCTATGCACTGAAGATTGCATTCAATTGGTATTGATTTCAATCAAAAACTTTCCAAAGAAAACTAGGTCAAAAACTCTAAGTTTTGTATAATGAAATTAATTTGCATTCATATTGAATTCATTAAAATTAATGACCTGTTTATAAGCATGATCTCCAATGGCCCTAGATAAATTTAAACCGCCATTAACTCTTCCATCCAAGGTCACCCTTCCTCCAGCTTTTGTAATCCTACTTTGTTCAGATTCATCTTCCGGCTTGTGATCAATACTCATATCTACTGCTTTGCCATTGCGGCATAGAACACACCTAATTTTTTGGTTGTAAATGTTATATAATGCATATATGTGATATGTTTCTAATAAGTGAGAAAATTTAAAAATATACATTATAAACTAGAAACTATTGATTTGAGTTTACTCTACCGAGAATCACCAGCATTGGCTACGTAAAGTTCCTTCTCATGTATAATTGCTACGACAGCAGTAGTTCCACTATCACTACCAGGTTCCTCCTTCATATTTGCCATAAATTCGGTATCCTTAGGATCAGGAATGTCGTCTTCACAAGAATCTGACGATTCATCTAAATATTCACAATCTTCATCATCATCCTCTTCAGATTCATTCGAACTAGCTTGATTTAAAAATAAATTTAGTTAATTATTTGTTCAACAATTTTTTTGTATATCATACCCAAAATCAATAATTTATTAACTATAGAATCTTGACACATACATGTGAATTTATTTCTTTATATGCTCGTTTATATATATATACAAAGACTAATAATCGGATTTAACATCAATAAAAAACCATAGATTTGTTTTCAATTTTTTCTACAATCTATACATTTTAGCTATAATCCTAGCCTTCATTCAGTGGTAACTAGAATAAAATTTAAAAACTAATCATAATTGAAATTTCACAATTATATGTTAACATTTAACTGTTACAAAAGAGTAAGTGTACAATATACGTGTTATCTGTAAACTGGTTGGATACATATAATGTTGAAGGACTTTTTAACAATACTTATTTTTACTAAGATTCTAACATGTATGGAACTGATGGTAGATATTTCGCATATTTTTTTATTTTTCTGTAAGTAATTTAGTAATACTGTCCAGATAAAGCATGTTTGTTTCACATAACATGATAAGTTCTGTCCTTTTATTTATGGTTATAATATTTTAGATAGTT